ATCACTTAGGCTTTTTCTTCTTGCACAGTTTTTGGGACGTCTGATGTCATGATTTGCGCCCAGCCTGTCTACAGTGTTCTACATGGTGTATCCAGAGTATCTAGTAAGTATCCAACAGATATCATGTCATTCCTCATGTCAGTCCTCACAGCAAATCACTTTCTCATCTTTCTGTTTTCCAAGGCCTTCAAGTTGCCACTGATTTATCTCTCTCTCTCTCTTTGTGTGTGTGTGTAAACTATCTTAAATCAGAAGAACATGTCAGAAATCTTCCATCTCTCAGCACAGGTCTCTTTCCCCCATCACAGCTTCTCACTGAGGAAGCAGAAAAACCCAAGCAAATTTCATCAAAATAAAATTATCCAAAAGAATTTTGTTTGCTTTATTTTTTTTTCTTTCTTCCTAACAGAAGTAGAATTTCTCTACAAACCTGAAACTGCAGTGGTCATTAAGATCACTGCAGTAGTGCTGCAACTGCAGCTTAAACCCCGTGCTATAAAATATCCCATATTTTCTCTGTGGTGGTTTTTCCTTTTGCTTGCTTCACTTTCTGCCAGCCATGAAGAGAGAAAGCCTATGTTTCAGGCTGCACACCTTCTTATGTTGAAACTTTCCCTGTGCTGGATGGTCATGAGCAGTGTGACTTCATCAATCCAACACTTCTGTGGGGAAAATGGCACCTGGCCTTCTTGAAAGCCATTCTGTAGTAGTGTTGGGATAAATCAGTGCATGGGCATTGCCCAGCTACTGTCTGTTGGCGGTGTCCCCACCCTGATGTGGGTCACCACAGGCCCCTGGGGTGTCCCGGCTGATGTCCCAGCTGATGTGTGCCATCCATGAGCCCTCAGACCATCCCTGCTCTGATGTGAGTTACCATGGCCCTCAGCAGTCCATTGTGGCAGTGGTCCTTCAGGGTAGCTGCTCCCATTCTCCGTGGAGGCTCTGGAGTATGTCTCTCACCTCATGTCTGCCACTTTTTCTTGGTAAAATTGTTTGGGAAAGGGTCTGGTGTGCATTTGTGCAATTTTGAAATTTCAAGGCAGAAGACTTTGAGGCATAACAGTCAGGTTTTGGTACGCATTGAGGTTGTTCCACTCTGTGGCCTTCAGAGCCCACTAGAAGCAGGCAGGCTCATGGATGTCTCAGGCAGCTCTGCCACCACCATGGTACCATGGCTGCCCCTGCTGCCACTGCCACCGTCGTGCCTCTTCACAGGGAAATAGTGAGAGACATGCCATGGTCTGACCCCAGGCTGCTCACTGGCTGTGACAGGGGCAGGAACACTGACATGGTGTCCCTGCTCTCCCCACAGAGCCCAGAAGAGTTTAACATATTAACCAGCGATTGGGGAAACCTCTTGTGTAAGAGCAATGTGGTGGCACCCAGTGAGCTTCTCTTTGCCTGGGAGTGCAGCCAAGTTGCTTACTCACTGTAACGTACCGTGTCAAAGAGCTGGCTCCTTATTAGACAGTTCTTTTAAAAAGTGTTTCGCTTGGAAACATAATGGCAAATTTTCTTCATCAGTTCAGCATTGCTTCATTTTTTTTTTTTTAAACTTGTATTTTTATATGAAGCTGTTCTGGCATCCCCTGTCAGAGAAAACCTTAAATGCTTTTAGAAAAATATTTGTTCTGATGGAATTTATGATGTGATCTGTTATTCAAATTTATAGTTAGCTTAACGTGGTAGTCTGGATGAAATGGCTCCTGATGACATTGCAGCAATCACATAAAGCCATACTTAGGCATGTTTGGACAGCTTATCAAAAAGTGTTTGGAAACAGAGCGTAGGTATAATAAAATGCAAAGAAGAGTTGGAAAGATCTCCGGCTAAAAAAAACCCAAACAACACACACCAAAGCCCTAAACTGTAAGACGAGTTTATATACAGCCTATAGGAGTGCCTCTGCTTCACCCAGGCAAAGAGACATTGACTTTGAAGCTGGGCTTGGAGAGGACAGTTAAAAGGTGCTTCTTTTTGGCAATGGTGAAAAAAGGGAATCCGAACGTGTTTGTTGTGTCCAAACCGCTCCAGCAGACAAGGAAGGAGAAGAGATCTGAGGGCAGGTTTCCCTCCTTTCAGGAGCCTGGCTTCCCAGCTGTGAGATGCTCACAGATGCTACCCTGCTGAACGTGAGCAGGTCCTTCACAACATGGAGCCTGCTCCTGTCTCATGGCCTTCCCTGGGAGTGGTAGTACTGCCTCATGAGGATGACTGCCACGTACAGCACCGCTCTGCTCAGAGAGGCCATTACTTATCTGTCAACTGTAGCTAACTCAGCTCTGTGGATTAATAGGAATGCATGTTTATGGATTTGCTTGCAGTAACTACAGTCATTGATCTCATGACTGAGCTCTTTCTGCAATGGGTATATCGTGCTTTTTCTGTCTGCTGTCTACTGGCCTTATTTTGTGGGCTTATTTTAGCCTGGGCTTATTTACACCACCATTGCTGGGGATGAGAGCCATGCTGCCTTCCTGTGCTCCTTAAATCAACACAATCCCCATGCACCCTTTGGGGAGGAAATCAAAAGGCCCTTTAAATTTGGTAGGCAAAAGTTATTGGGGTCGTAAGGAGATCTTTCTGCAGCTCATTTCCCTATCTTTCTCTGCTGCTGGGTAGCTATTGCTGATCCTGGTTATTGTTTCCCCTCTTGATTTCTGAGCCCCAAACATTTTCACACAACCCACTTGACTTTAATTTATTTTCTTTTTTGCCTTGAAGCGCTGGGAATGCAGGGGCTGTGAATGCTTTGTGGCCACAACCTCCCAATGAAATGAAAGCCCACGTCAAAGCAGGGAGGCTCACAAAACACTGGACAGTAAGAACAGCCAGGAAGTTAATTCTGTCCTCTTGGATTTTAAAAGCTACTGAACATACCTGTGATTATAAGTGAGCTGTAGGTCAATAAAAATGTCTGTTAGTGCTTTCATTATAATCTCAATTGTTGGGAGTTTACATAGCACAAACATTTGCTTTGTGGTAAAAGCACAGCATGTAAGCCTTTTGATCTACACTCAGTGAAAAAAATAACTTTTTGCTTTGTTTTCATTCCCTCCAAACATGCTTTACAAACTGGATTACAGCAGGAGTGATCTGATGTTTGAGCTATAAAACACGGCATGAATATAGATGACATTGGCCACTCCTACTTTGTTTAGTTGGGGAGAAAAATCCTTTTAAAAGGCATGATAAGATCTCCTCTGACTACTCTCAGTAGCAGACTCTACCGTCTCTGCAAAGAGATGAGAAAGTCTGAAATATAGCCTTCCCCCCAGGTATAGCTGGGTGATGAGTAATAGGTGGGGGCACTCCCTCTGCTGCTCTGAGACATGTGAGAGGGCAGAGAGACATTCAAAACGTGGTGAGGGTGAAAACTTTGATATTCTTCAGTTCATAGAGGGCAAGGACACACACACACTAAAACAAAACCAACCAACCAACAAAAACAACAACAACAAAAAAACAGCCTCAAGTTGCCTTTCTCTCCTTCTTTCCCTCTTTCAGTTTAAGACTCCTCCGATGAAAAAGGAGTGAAGCCCATTTGTGGCTTCTCCATGCCTTCCCAAAGAGCTCAGCAATGAAATGCTGAACAGCTGAGCTCCTTGGCACTTCGCAGATGAGGGAGCGAGAGAAAAAATTTCCAAACACTGAAGTAGGAGTCACAGCTGCAGCAGACAGCATAATTTTTTCAGGGAACAGGCAGGTACACAGCTGGGCAGTGGCTGGGCAGGCTGAGCAATCAGGAGTGGGCAGGGAAAAGAGCGTGATAGGCAGCAGCATCATTGCATGCCAAACTCCAGCTCTTCCTGGTACCCAAAAAGGCCTGGCAACATCAGCTCTTGTGCAGTGGAGGCAGTGCCTGCCCAGTCTGTATCAAATGACAGGCTGTTTTTTTGCAAACCTGTCTGTGGGCTTTCCTAATCTGCTGAATGAAACACAAAGCGTTCCATTTTGGGGCTGCTTGTCATGCCTGCTGAGCTATGGTACAAACAGCAAGTAATCCTTTATTTGCAGATGATAGGAAGATATAAAAGGAAGGCATATTTAGATCATTCAGGCATTCCTTAAAGTTTTTTTGTGCTTGACTTAGAAGGATGAGCTACAAAGCTGATTACGATCTTCCTGTCCCAGAGCCCTGCCAGAGGGCTCACTTCTGGAGCTTTTCCACTCCAGAGCCCAGGTCTCACACATCCACTTTAGCTTTCCCTTTGGGGGATGTTTACACACAGATTCTACGAGGATTAGAATTTAGCCTGATGTATTTTCCTATGGAAAACATACCCAAAGCAGAACCCCACTTGCCTTTAGATAGCAGGTCTTACTTAGAAAGTGTTAGTATACCAAAAGTTCTCAAGATTTGAGAAATCTCTTGTTATTTTGCCTTTCTCTTCTTCTGATAATCATAGAATTGTTTGAGTTGGAAGGGACCTTTTAAAGTCCATTTGGTCCAATTTCCTGCAGTGAGCAGAGACACCTACAGCTCCTTCAAGTGCTCAGAGCCCCTCCAGCTTGACCTTGGGTGCCTCCATGGATAGGGCATCCCACCTCTCTGGACAATCTGTGCCAGTACCTCATTACATTTACTGTAGAAAAAAAAATTCTTATATCCTATCTAAATCTCTTTTTGTTTGAAACCATTCCTCCTTATCCTGTCAAGACTTATCTATGCACTTACCAGTGTTTGCTTTTTGCTTTTTTTTTTTCCCCTCCCTATTTTATTTTTATTTAAAAAAAAAAATTGCATCTTCAACACAAAAGTGCCTCCCTGATTAGCATTTAGCATTGTTACAGGCAACTAAAAGCAATGATCTTAGAACAGCAGTTTAAGGGAACCTTGAGTACTGGAGAAAAACACACCCAGAGATAATTAACAGCACAATTCTTGCAACTTCTAACACCTGCTGATCCCAGTCAGGTGCTGGCACTCTAAATGCCAGCTGTAAGAGGGCTGAGTTTTGGGTCTGAGTACCATGGACGAGCTAAGGATTTAAACAGATTTTGTTTTAATGTATTTCAGAGGAAGTTTTGTTTTTATAGTTAATAACTTTGTTTTGTGGATAGGCATATTAGTTCAAGTCTTTTAATAGTTATACTGTACAAGCTAGAGGAGACCAAAGTGTCTTTACTTATGGGATCTCAGTTATGACTTCTGAGTAGCTAATACAACAAACACAAGGTTAGAAAGAACAACCCGTCTGCTAAGGGAATGGACTGTGTTAGTCTATAGAGAGGAGGATTATATCTGCTGATGATGTGGTAGGTAAAACCTGTAGGTTGCTCTTAGTTAATCGTATTTCTACTGCTGATTCTGCTTCTCAGTAATCTTAGGGTCTTGTTTGCTCATGGGTTTGGCAATTTCTATGTGTAGCTCAGACACTTTCTTTCCTGGTTTGTTATTGTTATTTCATTAGTTCTCAAGCAAGCATAAAGTTTTCAAGGGAAAGCAACACTTCATGTATTTAAGAAGCTCCTACTTCCACTCTTCAGTGAAACAGGCCTTTGTTCTTCCTGATATTTTGTGCGAGAAAGAAGGCAAATATACCTCCTGTGTACATCTATGCTTCTGCCTTTCTACTAGAATCTCTGAAACTGTACTGAGTTTGTGCAGATTGCTGTATTTCTGATCCAGCAGTATCAATGTTTTAAACAGATAATAAATGAATACACAAGATAATTAAATGCTATCCTTATAACAACACAAATAACTGGGACACAATTGATCTGCTTTATATAATATATATATATTTTATACCCCCTATCTTCCATATGTTGAGTTCTTCACTGCTCTCTACCTAATGGTGAGGGCGACTTAGTTTTAGCAGTGGTGTGGGAAATGCTGTGTTTTGTTTTTTTTTTTTTTCCTTCTTCTTTTTAGGGTGGGAGGTGAAGTAAATCTGGATTTTAATATATTAAAAAAATCAAAGCTTATTTATCAGGCTAGCATTTAATAATCTTTAGCAGAGCTTGCTGTTCTAAATCATTAAGCTGTTATATTTATTAGGATTATTATACAATAAATTCAATTTAAAGCAATTTAGATATGTCTTTTGGAGACTAAGACATGTTTGCATGTTCTTCCTGAGCAAAACCAAACAAACAAAAACGACAAAACAAACCAAAAAGCAAAAACCTGATTGTGCAATTCAACAAACTGATGTGCAAGCTTGTCTATTAATTGTGCATTTGAAGGCTGCTGCATCTCTGAACGTTTGTTAAAAGCACTTGATAATGCAAACGTTAAAGTGTACCCTTTGGTTCTGTAACCTGGCTGAGCTGATGAGAAGGAGTCAAATGCGGTGATAGGAATATACCTAGAAAAGCCTAACTAAGCAGCAAGGTGCTTAACTTACAGCAGTGAGATTGCTGGTACAATCTGTAGATATGCTAAGTGCTTAATGCTCCTATTGGTGGCAATAAAATAAAGATGTGGCAGAGGGTGCAGTTGTAAAATTTACTCTTCCAAATCAGATAATTAGAGTAACAGTGCTCCTTTTACTTTGCAATCCCAGGTGATCTCTACATATGGAAGAAGCTAATGCTTCCTTCTGTCTGCATAGTAGAAAAACATTTTTCTCTGATTACAGAATTCAGTTACTTTTTTTTTTTTTTTAAATAGAAAGTAACAAGGAGGCAAAAATGCAAGATCATAATTAGAGCACTGATTTCCCTCCACTGTCCTTCCGTACCCCCCTTTGTCTTTGTCCTGGACTATCTAACCAAGATGAGGAGCACTCATTGAGGAATTCTGTGATTTCTATTGATGTTTAAGACCTGGAGAAACCAGCGTGCCCCCATCTGCTGTTGTTTGAGTCTGATTGCTTCTGATGCACCAGGACTGAAATTCTTTGGTTCATGTCAGCTGTGCAGCAGGACCAGGACATTCACAGATCCTTAGCTGAAAGTTGCCATATATTTCAGCATGTTCTTGTCTGCCTGAAAACATTTACAGCTGGCCAGCTGAATGATTGCCTCAAGTAAAAAATGGAGGGGCTTACCTCATTCTGTGGATGATATTGTCTCTAGTAATTTAGCAGTGGGGGAGAATAGGATTACGACACAAAGAGGACCAAAATACTAATTAAAGACTCCATATGCCAGGTTTGAAGACTTCTGTAAATCATGATTAAAATCAGAAAAAGAGAACTCCTATTTCTGAAGTGGTGTTCTCTTATTGCTGTCAAATTGCGAGTATGGCATTGTATGGGAGCTGCTGAATCATGGCCCGAAGCTCTGATTGACCACCTGAGGCAAGCAATGAGTCAGTCATGGGGAGCACAGGTGAAGGCAATTCAACTGTGCTACTGGAAGGGGTGGAGCCTGGCTGCACCTCTCCTAGACCCATTTAAGAACTGACTGCCCCCAAGGAAGATTCTCTTCCTGGAGATCCTGCCTCGTGGAGAATATTATGAGCCTACAACATCGGTAAGCATTTTCTGCTTATTATCTTTCCACTGCAATAATCCTACTTAACCTAGAACTCTGTACGGCAATTGATTTTACACCTCTGTACACTTATTGATTGTACAGGCTGGATGAGAAACAACTCTCCCTGTCCCAGTTGTGTTTACGTACTTGATGTGACACAACTCTGGAGGTAGTTTTCTTTGTTTTGAAATTGTCCTCTGCTGCTCATGAAGACCTGTGTGTTTGTATTGGCTCAGAGGATACCTAAGAATTTGGAATTATTTGGCTTTTCATGAAAATGTTATGAGTATTTATAGATCATCGAATTGTTTGAGTTGGAAAGGACCCTAAAAGGCCATCTATGCAATGAGCAAGGACTCTTACAACTTCATTAAGTGCTCAGAGACCCCCTCCCGTGTCCCCCCCAGACTGATGTTAGATGTTTCCAAGGACAAGACATCCACCATCTCTCTGGGCAACCTGAGCCACTGCCTCACCACCTGTATTGCAAAGAAGATTTTTCTTTATGTCCAATCTAAATCTCTCCTCTTGCTGTATTCTCTTTCATCTTGTGTGTACTTTTAAGTGTATCTTGGAGGAAATGATGGTTAATGGCTTTGTTCCTTGGCTGGGGACTGAGGTTTGTTTCCTTTCGTTATTAGTTTTGTGTCACTGCAGAAAGTAGGCTAACGTTATTTTGAGTTTGCCGTTCTTTTTTCTTGACATATTGGGATGAATTGCTCAGCATAACAAATTATTGTTATATGCTTTAGTTTCCAGTTTTTTTTAATGTAGAATCCAAGTCCCAGCATCAGGATTCAATTAAATGATAGTTTGATTTGACTGAAAAATTAATGGTCCGGAACAGAAACCCCGGAGTATTTTTTTGAAGTTATTATTTTCAGTACTTCTGTTTTAAATAAAAATCTGGACTCAGCCCAGTAACATGAAGTGACATGTTCTCTCATCAACTAAACATACATAATGATTAAATTTAACAGTGATTGTTTGCTTATTGCTCTTTCTGGTTACGTAGGTATTTTTTTGCAGTCATGAAATGAATTCCCTGGCTATAAGTGGCACTGCACTGAGTTGCTGTGAAAAGTTTGTTGCTACTGTCTGTTGCCCTTCTTAGGAAACAGTGATTTGCCAAGTGCAAATCATATTCTATAATTGCACGTCATTTTCAATGACAGCTTGAACATTCAACTTCTGTTTACGCTTGAATCAGACATATTGATTTTTCATTTTAATGATAAACAGATTGGCATGTAAAACACTTGATGATACATCTGCTGAAAACGTGCTAAGATCTCTGAATGAAAAAAGCAATTGCAATGTGGACTATTGGAGGCATTGAGAGTGTACATAAGATGAGGATGCAAGCTACTCAGGGGTAATTTACACCAAAAGAGTGCGAGTACTTTAATCTGGTATCAATGTAAGCATATTTATAGTTTGCTTGCAGTCTGTCATTTGGCCAAGAACAGTTTTTGCAGCCAAGAATACTGGGAGAATGTTAAAACATAATATTAATAATACTGTGGCTTTCCTTGAAAAATATTTTTGGTTTTGAATTTTGGTTTGTTCTCATCATCAGAATTTACTGTGATTATAAATGGGGCTTGGCCAAAGAGTGACGCTTAACCTCTTGTTACCTGTGTTTTCTCTTGGAGATTTTTTGACATAGTTTTATAGAGCTGTGTACGTGAATCTTAACATTTTGGGGGAGTGTGTACTGTACTGATTGTATTAATAACTTCTTCTACCAAACTGTTGCTCATAGATAAAAATGTATATTTCTTGTAATTCTCTGATATGACTAACGTAAGGGTTAAGCAAACATTAACTTATGGTTTCTTGAGAATATAAAGACACCCTAAAACCAAAAGGTTGATCTTAAAATCTTCTTGTGTACTTTTATAAGGAATTGAGAACTTGGCTTTATTGTATGCTACATAGATGTTACCTAAAATCTGTCTGTCTTCCTCTGTATAGGGTAGGCTGTGGTGGAAGCAGAGTTTTGATAGGGTAGCAGATATGAAACAGGAAAATACATGCATGCTGTGCATGTACAGAAACAAACGGTTAGTGTTCTGAACTGCTTAGTTTTGACTAGAAAATGAATGACATCCTTTGGGTGGGGAGGGGGAGGTAGAAGGGGAAGCATGGAAAAAAAAAAAAAACCACCAACATTGTGGAAGTAAGAATTAGTTTACATTGGAAAACATGAACAACGATTTATTATAAACACCTTACATGCTTTCTGCTTTGTGGTTTGCAAAATACCTAATTGACTCTTTCAGGTAATCTCAACTTGTTCTGTGACATGAAGCACAGAGCTGCACATCTTGAGGTCCTGCTCAGTCAGTTAGTGAGACCAGCAGATATGCTCTGTGTCAAAGTATCTTTGTTTATGATATTTTTTTTTATTTTAAAGCTGTATTCTCCTTTGGAATTCTTTCAAGGTCTCTTCTAATCCTGATACGCAAGTGTCTCAGAACTGCATACCACAGATGGATATATTATGCATTTTAATAGTCATGAACAGTTTCAAAGCAACTTGGAACAGCTGTTTTGCTGCTCAAAGTGGAATGAGCCCTGAGTACCTGGTATTTTCTTTGGTGTATGTTTTCTTCTTTATTTTTGTATCTCCTATCCTCTTTTTTTTTTTTTTTTTTTTCTGTAATAAGCTGGCCCTTCATAGGCTGGCCTTAGTATATATGACTTAAGCTTGGTCTTCAACAAAAAGATGATGCAGTGATTCCTTTGAGTTGTCCAAGGGCACCAGACTTCCCTGGTTAGTTTGCTGGTATAATTCTTTCTGGACCCTGTGCTCTTCTGTCTGCATT